GCTTTCTTGTATTTATTACGTAAAGACTCTAGTATGGAGTATCACTTGACATCTTACTCTAGTCAAAGAGTGGATGACCAATCTTCAGATCTTGAGATTGAAGATGATGCTACGGATCATCGTGATATTCACGGTGATGCATATGTATTGAAGTTTCTACAGAGCAGTATGGTGTCAGACACAGTGAGTGTCAAGGAGCGATATCGTGTTCTTCAGCGAGCGAAGAAATACCGATTGGGAGTAGCACATGTTCTCCAAGTGTGGGAGGATGATATGATACAGGTAGTACCGCATCCACCTCAGAGAGTGCGACACTTGAGGTGCATGTTATGTGAATTAGTTGGTCATGCGGCCGTATGTTGATGTCTGATAGGTATTCTAGGAAATGACAAATGTTGTGTCTAACTCCACCTATGGATGTTGTTGCGGTTGGACGATGAATTTGTCCTCAATATACTTTGAAGGGGTAAATGATTTGATCTTCACATGTTATGAATTGCAAATAGGCAACTAACGATATGGTGACATATCATCCTGCCTACTGGTTCGCACACCCATGAAGATGTATAGCATGTGGTTGTAGACAAGATTTACCTCATAATTTTTCTCCGTAGCTGGCGGAAGGAAAATTATGATACATTGGAATGTCTAAGCTCTTGTTTCCCTGTGTGTGTGAGTATCATGTCAGCGATGTAGATTGTATGGCGATATTTGCACGACGCGTGCTCTGTTGCAAGTTTCAAACTTGGTTAACTAAACATCCATTTTGAAAGAGTTAGCTTTGTTTTGATTGAAATTAACGGATAGTATGATGTGCATTAAGTTTAAGCGTGACCGCAATCACTTGTCGACTAACGACCTCGCCATCTCTATGATCGTCATGTGATTTCATCAATGATGTGTTCAATAAGTATTGTGCATAGTTGACAAAGTCTTGGTACGTTGAGAAGATATAGCAAACACTATACATCGCCTAATAACGTAAATTCCATAATCAAACAATTATCAAAAATCAAGACTACATCACATCTTTCAACAAGGTATGAGATGACTTGGGGGCGTATCGTTTTGCTGCATTGCGAATGTTTTGTGGTGGATTGGCGAGCACTTTTGCCAATACAACCAGCGTTGAATCCAATTTTAGCATTTTGAAATGAGAGAAAGACGTCTTTTGACAAATCATGATAAATCTTACATTAGAAGACATTTTTCTAATGAAACAACATCGTATTGGAAATGAAGATTTTTGATCTGTTCCAGTGAACTGATGTCAAATATGCTCATGTGTTTGTCATGAAGTTGAATAAAATTGAGAAAAAAATACATTTTTGCTATTTTTTTATTGTGTGCTACTATTTAAGATTTTTGATCGCTGAATCTAAGCTATATTAGTCAAAAGCAGCATGTGACGAGTCTTAGAATGCCTGATTTATCCTATATATTTCTCTAAATGCTTCACTTATAGTTTCAACTTAAAGTGGCCTTTGATATTACAAAGTCATTTGTATATTAATGATATTTAAGTTTTGCAGACTATTAATGATGTACTTTATTGAATACATAGTTTATAATATTTAGATTAAAGAAAATTTGTGGAAACAAAGAAAGAAAAGAAGAATTAAAGTCTCCATTAACCGTAACTAACAAAAAATAATAAAATGTGGACAGTAGCTACATTGATAGTGATGAGATATATATCCTAGACCAATCTAAATCTGCTTTATCAAAACAAAATTATCTACAAATAGCACTAGCATCTAATTACTTGTAACATGGACAAAACTTCATGAAAATTTTATTGTTTCCTAAGATTTGAAAAGTTCAAGTATCATAAGGTCTTGGAATAAAATATCCGTTGATGAGGTATACAAAGAAATATTGATTTTGATAAAAAGAAATAAAATATAAGAGCTAGTAAAGATGATAGAAGAACTTTTTGATGAATTTATTATGATAATTTGTTCTCAAAGTGAGCACATACCAATGGAAAGTATTGGTATGTGCTCACTTTGAAAATTTTCTTGTAGAAAATGACGATGTGATACAAGTGGATTGTAAGACTACAAAGAGAGTGAGTTAGAGAACATAGACCTCGATGCTGATTGCATCAATGTGTAATTAGGGTTTTTGACAAAAATATTGCTCTCAATAAGAGTATTTAGAAAAGTATTTAGTACCCTAATGATTCATTTCATAATCATTTCTAAATACCCTTTCATCTGGATCTGGTGTAACTTGGGCTCATCATGCCATAGTTGCAAACTCCTTGCAGATCCAGAACGTGAGACAAGATAGGCAAGTAGTGCTCGATTCGATAGGTTAAGCCTACATGGGTCCCACAAAGTTTGTGTAGAATTTGTAGTTGGGTTGAAATTTTTTGAAAACAATTGCAAGGTTTTTTATTTGCAAGAAGTATCTCAAAATTGCAAAGAACTTGTGAGCATTAAAATTTGGAGGAGTAGCAAAAGATGACCACAATTATTCATGCATCTTGTTATGCAAGAGGTACAATACTAATGTGAAATACACTACAGCTTTAAAGTTGATCTTTACAATCTAAAAGTGGCAAAATCTAGAATTGCTCATCAATATCTTGCATACTTTAGAGAATTAGTAGAGCATGACACTTTTTTGTAAGTAAAAACAAGTCCTACAGTGCTTTGCAAAAGATGAACAAAAAAAGATTGCTGAAGATTGATAACGACTTTCTAATCAAAAGATTCAGTAGAAATATTTACTTTCAAAAAAAGTAAGAACCCTTAGTGTGGACGAGATTGAAAAAGAAATAAGCATGAAGCGGAAGTTGAAGTATGTAGCAAAACCAAGGAGTAAAACATCAAATGCATCGTGACCTAAGGTAATAATCTCAAAGTCAATTCAAACGAAATTGCAATCTTAGATGATCTTTTGGAAGTGACTTTAAAGAAAAATGACTGTAAGGAAAGTCGGTTATATAGAGTTAAACCTTCCAATTGTGACGTACATTGGTTCTAGAGTTTTATGTCACTATTGGGAGGTGTCACTCACACGAGATTGGGTAGTATTTAGCAGATGATATAGATATATTCTTATTTTGCGTTTAGCGGATCATTTGGCTGTCAAAACTTGAACCTCCATCAACAGTGATCAATGAAATTATATTTGTTTGATGTTCACAATGAGAAGATTTCTATTACAAAAGATTTCTGTACTCAATTGTATATTGACAATTTCTATTGCTCAAAAAGTTCCATGGCTCAATCGTGGAGAGATTTCTCTCGTTTGAGAATTGTTGGTAACCAATTTTTCAAAATTGAATGCTCTCTAGCTTACAACATGGTGAATGGTGGTTATAAATGGTGGTTATAATCAACATGAATATCAACTGGGACGAAATATGTCATGAGCACAGGAAGAGTCCATATACAGCCATGTTTTCCTTCATAGAGCGACATGATTTTTTGCAGACATGTATATTTATCTGTCATGTCTCTGGCTTCAATCGAAGAATGTCCTTGGACTCGGGTGTAGTTCACACATCCTCCCTCAAAAAGGAAAATTTTTGATTCGAGAACAATCATAAAGTGACAATCCTAAATTGACAACTTCATGATGGATGCCGACACTTGAAACCATGAGACTGATTCTAATGATCACATGAGACTTTCCAATGAAAAACGTCAAGGGACTCGGTGATGATTCGGGGTTTACAAGTGGCCAACCTTGTCCCTCGAAGTTCTCTACAAGCAGAAAGCAGCCTATCTTGCTTTCTTGGAGGATTCAGTTTGAGTATTTCCTTCACAATGGATGAAAAATTGCATATTGGCTCTTCCCAATTGATTCATGATTTTGAAAATGAGTGAGAAATCAGTTCAGAACCACAAGTTCAACATCAGAAATTGTTTGAACTAATCGAAGAGCGCAAGACTCCAGCGAATATTTCATTTTTCCCCCAAATAACACAAACTATATTCACACAAAGTGTTTGGATAACACCAAGCACTAACGTCACCCCGAGACAGCCTTTGTATGATGTGCAAAATGATATCAACTCCTCTATGATACGCTTCATTGCGCAATTTAGAGCACCCTTACTTAGATTATGCTCCGAGTATAAAATCAGAACATACACGTATTTTTGAGACCTGTCTTGCTCCTGGACATAAATTTGATGTTTGTTAAGGAAAAGTAGCATATAATAAGGAGAGCGGTTCACAGTTGACGCATTCAATCTTCTCACATTATAATTGAAATCATGATTCAATCTCACTAGAAGCATGGAAAAAAAGCATGAATTTAAACTCGCAAGCTGTGAATGGATACTTTCGATAATTATGACAGTCATTAAAGGTCCACGATGTCATTATTGTCTCATGTCACTATTGCCGATAGTGCCGTACAATTCTTATTGGTCAAATTTATACGTTAAAAAGTAATGGTTCCACACTTTCATGCCACTAATGGGAGGATGTCACTGGTAGAAGGTGACACTATTGGGAGGGGTTAACTCTGTAGTGAAGAACCGTGACAAGAAGGTTCTCAGTCTTTTGAAGGTCCATGGTATGCTTCTTTTGTGTTCGATTTATAACACGAGGATGCAAAAAATTGTTCGTCACGCACGATTTGACAAAAAACTGAAAACTTCCAGGGGATCCTTGAGGAATTATTGAAAATATGTGCTGGCTTGCCCCTCACACTAGCTCGGCTAGTTCGACATCTGCAAGAGTAACGGATGTTCGTACTTGGGCTGAAATTCTTGCAGCTTTCAGGAGAGCTGAGGACATTCTATCGTTGGAGAAAAGAGTTTGGAAAAGCTTTCCTTGAGTTATTGAAGCTCTAGGGAAGGTGCAGCAGCAGATGTTTCTAGACACTACCTCAATCTTCAAATAGTTGCTTTGAAGAGGTTTTGTGTTCAAGGAATTATGTCCAAGGTGGAGGTGCACTAAACAGTTTGGAAACTCTGGTGGACAGATACCTGGTTTGGGAAAGTAGCAGTGACCTTATGCCATCGTACACGTATGTAATGAACGGAATCTGACAACAATGAGCGAGAGAAATGCAAAAAATGTCGGTGAGATCTTCGGTCAATCCATCGACTCCTATGCTTACTGAAGATAACTTTGAAAGTTTAACATCTCATGAGGTAATTTTCCTATATTTTCTTTTCTTCCGTCCCTCCCACTTTCGACTTCAAGCGATCGAGTACAAAAATATTCAACTGATTAAAGAAATTCTGAAGTCACCCTAGTTTTGACTTTTTTCATAGCTGCACAGAGAATTACTGATTTAATTACTGTGTGATACACACAGTTTCAACTACTGAGAAAAAAAAGACCTGGTAGAGAGGACTGCAACTTAAGTGTTTAGATACTAAAAGTGCTGATACTTAGTGTTGATGCTGCTGAAGTGCTATCAGGCGTTTGTTTGCCGTAAACCGTTCTTACTTGTGGCACTGCCGAAGTGTTCTGTTCCATGCGTCTCCCTTGCCTGTGCTTTTAGTTCACAGTATTAATAATTTAATACGAACTCTATACCCTTGTGTCTCTCTTCGGGAGAGTATGTCCAGTAAGCATCAGGTAAGCATGACACGTGGTTCTACATTCAACTCATTCTCATACAGTTTCACTGGAGCTAGAAATGACAGACGATCTCGAGCAAGAAGGACCAGGAAGAATGGAGTTGATCTTTACTCTAATTTCATCCCAACACTTGATATTCCTTCAAGATCGGTAAGGCATGGAAGAAAGAGGGTCGGAGTTTCAATCCAGTACATCCCCCAATGCGTTTTTTGTGACTTATTAACGAACTTGGAGCATATGAGCATTATAAAGGTTTTGGGACAGTTGCTGACCAGGACTGGATCTCCATAACTTCTCACAGATCGGCTTTAAATTCTCCACAATCCCATACCCTGTCCATTGAGATTTCAAGGTCCTGGGTGTAAGTAGTGCTGCTCACATTCTCTTAACAAAGACATTTTTGAATCCCAAGATACATTATCGGGGATGACTTAGGTTTTCGCATTCAGATCTATATCAATTGCAGCCCAAGGACTTTATGCAGAACTCGCTTCATAGACAATGTACCTGCGAAGTGAAACTTGGTTGTGAGAAGCACCTGCACTTTGGCGAGAAATTTCAACTCATTTCTCGTGACAAGCCGCATTTACAAACGGCTTCCTTCGTTGCATTCGGTAATAACAGCCGTTCAGTGAATATTAATGAGGCTTCACAGATCAAGAGAAAGCCCCTGAAACAGGAAAGATGCCAACCATCAACCCTGGTTACATGTGTTATCAGTCGTTCATTAAACCAACATTCAGTCACCGTTGGTTACTCGTTAACCCTGGTTGACATCAATCGGTCGTTGATGTGTACTAAGTTAACCAACAGTTGTCAAAGTTAGTACGTCCTACAATTCAGATGAGCTAGAGAACTTTAGCAAATGGACTTTAGCTGTCCGAACTTCTGACGAAGGTCTTCCGTATACATAGATTTGACTTGCAAAAAAATCTCTTCAAACCCAAAGATGTAGGACCAAAGAGTTGTCATGTAATCTTATCATTTGACCACAAAACACGATATTCAGTTGATGCGGTAATCTGGTCAACCGAGCTTGAAGAATGTTTGAAAACATCTGCATAAACTCTACTTCTTCGAAGCCAATCAGGACTGAGTGAAATGAGCAGCATTTAGACCCAAAAAAAGCACGCAAGATTTTCTAGACAACGCTAATCAACATCGGGTCTTGATTAAAAGTTGCGCGTTTGCAGCACATCATAACTGCCATAGAAAGACAGGAGCAAGTCATAAGATCGAAGAGCGTATTAGCAGTCCTCGGATCAAAACGGAAAGAAGATTCTGCGAGGGGTCATCGTCCCACTGAAGTCAATTATACAGAGCGCTCGCTGGTCCTCTTCATCTATTTCTATATCTCATCAAGCCTTGCTAAATGCTGCAACCCTTTGTTTAGGAGACTTGGTTAGGAGCTTCAAGTCCTCCGTTGACCATGCAGATACACATGGGTCTGCCTACCAAGTAGATAGACGAAAAATTTCGGCCGAATCTCCTCTTCAGCACAAAAGGCGAACATTGCCCTTTTCATGTTCCATATAAATTGAACTACATCTGGACTACAAGGAGATTTACAGAAAGGTACACGCGCACACCTTCCATCCGATTTTGACCTTCAGCAGGTCCCACCTTTTGCAGGAGATGTGATTGTTTCATTCTAGTGGTCTAACTAACTTGGAATTACTCGTCTTCGTTGGAAGAAGGAACATTGCTTGAAAGAATTGTATATCTATGTTTTACACGGCTTTAGCATGCACATGAGCACTTCTCACAGACCCACAGGTTTTGAGTTACACTAGAACAAAGATTGAGTCGTCCGACGTCAAGACAAACCTCCGGCATGGACCTTCAAGACAGGAACAATTGCTTACTACTGTCATAAGCTCCAGGCCACTTACATGACTATCTTCGAAGCGTCTTCTTTCAGATATCCTCTCTCGTATCGTCGATGGACACTTTCCACTAGGTAACCACCACACGTTCCCACATAACGTTAATAGTCTCCACAATAGGACCTCAACACGGATGTCTTCGATTCCTTGAAAGCTCAGTATGTCCACCCAAAACATTTTTGGCAATCGACATCAATGGAGAAAAACCTGGATCAGGCACTGCAGTCTCACAGGACACAAAATTGACGCGTGTATCCTCAGAGAGTATTTGCCAATCCACTTGCCACTTGTGAAGACTACAATCTGACTTGCTCCAACCAATGTCAAAAGCTCTGTTGGTACCGAGATAGCCCATGAGGATGCACGCTAGTCAAAGTATGATTTCCTCCTTGACGGTTGTTCTTCTAGAAATGGATTGTTTCGAAATGATCGATTTTCACTGTCATCGCCGTCAAATTCTTCCTCCGCTATACTGCTCCGTGGCATATGAATATCCTCCCTAATGCTCGCGTGCCCCGTCCGTGAATCAGTTCTAGCCAAACTATGACTTCGGCGAGGTGTCATGCTCGCACGCCGTGCAACGTCCCAAGACTTCGCTGGAGCTGGGACTCCCTCTTGCATGGCGAAGAAGGACTCGAAACCAGGAGAATCAAATGAGAACCCAGTATGTTTCGACCACGTTCGTTCTCTCGGAAGCTGGGCCATAGCCAATGACCGCTCTTCTTCAGCACTAAGAGTAGTAGGACCGTCCAGCATAGCCATCATTTCCAACTGATGCTCGGGATCATTTATCTCCAACTTACTTCTGAACTTCGTTTCTTCTTGGATTATCTGGTAATCGAAGGGGAAAAACCACCTCTGGAGTCTGCAAACCCCACGAATGCATCAGTAGAGGCAACTAATACACATGTCAGGGAAAATGAAAATCATGCGCTACCTGCTCCAAATTTATAGATCCACTGACACATTCTCATTAACCAATACGAACGAAATTTCTTTACCCTTGATAGATGAAATCGCCTGCAAGGGCCATCGATGGGACCAGTATAATGAGGAACCAGAAATACCAAGTGCTCATCAAGTTGAAAATCACCCAATATATGTTGTCCTGTTTTCAAGTCAAAAACGGTCAGGACAAGAAGCAAATCACCAGCTCAGACACCTAAAATTTCAACAGGAAAGACCAAGTATTGTGTGTTCTTGTGTAGCCGAGAAAGGAGAGAATAAAGGAGATGAAACCAGAAAGCACCTACAGTGAGGTAGAGACTATAAACATACCCACCCTTGACGCAAACTACGGTGACACAATAATAAACCCAAAATGAATGCAGTGGAAAGGCACAGAGATCCTCATACCTGTAGATTAGGAGTCTGCACTCCAGAGTAAAAGAAGATGAACAGGAACCAAGAAACTATGCTGCCTTCAACTGCAACATGATGCCATACAGTGATGGAAGATGATGCCATTAAAAGACGAAGATTGACGGTTATAATGATGCACGTGTAGGCCATTGTACCCACATCCCAAAGCCCCAGATTAAGGCCGCCGTTAACTCCATGTTCTGCGGCTTTGGTAGGAAAAAAGAAGAAGATCAGAGACTGGTAGATGGCAAAAAAGAGCCACACAAGTAGCACTCGCCAACTAAAATATAGGTTGTCTATGCCAGCTTTATAGAGCTGGGGATACTTCTTGGCTCTTCTTGCACTCACATCCTGCGACCAAGTATCAGTGAAACCTAAAGTTAGACGGAAAGCCACTAATCAAGACATTCGCGAAACGATAGGGCCGGGTGCTCAAGATACTTTCACATACAAATGAAAAATTCATAAAGGACTCTTCCAAATCACGTTCTGCAAGAGTTATCATGGGAAATAAAACTTTCACTACGGCAAATTGAAGAGTTCCGACCTCTTTAAGTGAGTGCCTTCGCAACAACACAACAGCGATCTGAATATATTTTGGTTGCAGAAAAAGAAAGAAAAAACGAGGGCTTTAAATGGACGCCGAAGTTGATATACGGTCATACCTTGTCGAAGACTCCCACAGCAAGCACAGGTAGAGCTGTGAACAACACGTTATACAGTGACTGGAACCAATCATCATAAAATCGCTGGCCCGAATTACCCGCGTATAGATTGAACCAAAACTGTGTCATTGTGAAGGTTAAGTTCTTGTAGAAAAAATAACAGACGACCTGTAAACAAATAAGGGCAGAATCAGTAATTAAACACCAGAAGAACGCATCGACAACGCATAAAACGACTGAAAACGCATTAACAAAACACAGAAGAAGTCCGCAAAGGAAGTTGTTCGCTTATCGATTCACCTTCGATATACGATTATAGGACCACCGACCGTGGACTAGAAGTAAATCGGTGAGAAAACGGAACTGCGCGATTGCAAAGTCACTGGCCATAACGGCTTGCATTCCCTCTTGACCACTAATACCAACACCGATATGAGCTGCCTGGATCATGCTCACATCATTGGCACCATCGCCAATACTGAGAGTGATTTTTTTGGCCCCGTCTTTGATAAGCGTTGTGACCTGCAAAACAAACGTTTTCTGTAACTCATTCTGCTAATTATGCAGAGTTTTGCTAATTATGCGTTTTTCTTTCTTTTGCTTTCAACAATTCTATGGTCTCTGCATAATTCTAGTAACTCATTCTATACAGCCTAGAAACGATCTAAATCTATCTTCCCGAGGAGACAGAACAATTGCAACTCACAGATTGCGACTATAAAGAGAAACTATATCATTTTTATACCACAATCAGATATGAAGCAAAGAAGAAAAGAGCAGAATATTGAGTGTTCGAAATAGCCTTCAGTACTTATAACTTCAAAAGCAGAGACCATAGAACTGTTGAAAGCAAAACAAAGAAGAACGCATCGAGATTGCGCCGAGCGTAGTGGAGTGAACAACAAGCGTTGATTGCACCGACCCTTAAAAAAAACTGTATACGACAACAGAGACTAAAAACTCACATTTCTCTATAATTTGACAAACAAGTCAGAATTAGGTCCAATGTACCTGCGCCTTCTGTAATGGTGAGACTCTGCAGCATACAACAGCTTTGCACTTCATGCATATCCTCAGAAGAGCACCTCGAAGATGAGGATCCAAAGCATACATGAGGCACCTTCCATCGATGACAAGGGCAAGATCGACGCCAGACTGTTCCTGACGGATCTCTTCTGCTGCTGAAATGGCATCATAAAGCTGTCGTTTTACTTGTTCTTCGAGCACACGAGCAGTCTCCAAGGGATCACCCTATATAAACACACGAAGTCCAACTTTCATCAGAAGTGAGAAACACTATAATCTGAACTCATTGGCAAACAAGGAAACTGCTGATTCTCAGTCCATCGATGGTGACGACAAGCGATGAGATTAGAAAGAACTGAGAGGGTGGTGATGACAAGCAACTGAGAAGGACGTAATATGCAATGGCTATAGACTAATCATACTTCAGAGATACCCACTTAAATGCTCTAATAACTACAAGAGACAAAACTGAGAAAACTAGAAGCACATTTTGCATCATGTCTACGCCTTCGAATTTAACCAAATCCAGAAGAGTCTTTTGCTTGGATCGCGACAGTACGAATAAAGAAAACAAATTGACAATAAACCTCCTTACGCAACAACCATTACAGCACTGTTGTGTTAAGCATGAACATTGAGCATTGTTTAAATTATGCCCATCATGCAGAGAGGGCCGTACCCGCTCTTCCACATCCCGGATAGACTTAACGTCTGAGTTGATGATGAACTGCTTCATTTCATTGCTCAGAAGACTACAAGCTGCGCATTTCAAACAGCAAAAGGCGATGTTAATGGCACCGTAATGTAAGTTTTTTGAAATAACAAAGTCCTCTCAATTGGTTTTAGAACTGCGAGTAGTTTTAGCATACCATAAGCAATGTTGATTGCTGTCTCCATTTTGTCGCCGGTTAAAACCCAGATTTTAATTCCAGCTTTCGAGAGAGTTTCTATGCATAAAGGAACACCTTCCTGCAATTTATCCTCGATCGCTGTGCAGCCCAGTAAGATCAGGTTGCTCTCGATGAGCTCCGCAACCTGAAAAAAATTAGATAGAAAAACCTCGTCAACCCGCTGAAAAACCATAAAAATAGATGTGGAATGAAAGAGGGATGAAGTTCCTTCCGAACTTATAATATACCTTGCGCACCTCCTCGTCCTGGTAAAGACTCCATGTCTTCAGGCAGCAAATGACTTAAATGCAAAATCAAAATCATCAAAATGCACTTTAAGATGACTTTGGGGAGCCTTTGCACTTAAAGAACGGACAAAAAGCTTAACATGTATCATGACAAACTAACTTCGGGGTTGATTACGGTGAGACCCCACCTCATCAAGTTTCTTCTCGCGGTCTCGAAGGGCTGACTTTGCTTGAATAAACTTTTCATTCCAGTCTTCGTACTGACGTGGATCAATATCGGCGTAAGCCAAGCAAAGGGTTCTTAATCCATCTTCACCGTACCTCTCCAGGTGATCGCGTGTAATTTCTCTGTAGGGATTCTGACCGTCCGCCATCCTCTCATATATTACTGAGTCAGCACCCTGCCAGGCATCGTACATGAGACGGTAGTTTCAAGCAAATGAAGTAGACCGACTCTAAGCCCGATACCCAGAAGGTCATCCATGCACTACACAGAAATAAACGACAGAATGATGGCAAACGATGACGGAATGACGTAGAGCATAACTAGTCGAGATAAACTGCAACGAAGGACCAAACAGGTCTAGCTTGAAAACACTTGAAATTTTGCGAAAAGACATTACACTGTAACTGCTACGGTGAAGCAGCTACTTCAGGCAAAAGCGCAAATTTAAAGGGATGAGCAAAGGGACCTAATAACAGAGAAAGGAAGACAGTTGTTGGGTATAGCAGTAGGATACCTTGCAATAGAGTACCAACCTACCACTTGGATAGCGGCAGATAACAGACTGCCGCTTCCTAGTGCTGTTCGGTGAAACACAAGAATGAAGAGAGATGTCAGAAGTGTTATGAGTGTTGAACATATCTTCGACTGACTCAATCAAACTCACTGAGCATAACTGAGTCTTGCGGGCAAGAAACAAGAAAAGGGATTGTCAATTTCAACTACCTATTAAACTCCAAAACGTTGAGAATCTCATATTCCGTATCTTGAACCTTCCCCAATCTCTCGATGTGAGATTCTCGTACTCTGATCGTTGTAGGAGAGCGCCTATAAGAAATAAAGGGAATTCCCACATATTAGAACAAGGTATTATATCTGGATCAAATCAAGTATCATAAAAGTTGCACGATAGACAAATCTGGATGTTTAGTAGGGGTTATCGTACGCATAGAAGAAGAAACCAAAATTTTTGGCGGCGGTCACAAGAGCTGCCTCATCTGGTGAGGCGGCTTGATACACAATTTTCTCCGGTAGATCTTCACCCTCTGGCAGTACGGTATGACATATCGCTAGACATCTGAAAAACTCCTGCACACACAAAATCCAGGGTTGACATCAATAATCACAACCAATGCACATCAAATTTAGAGGCATTTCTGATAGAATGAGTAGAATCACGCTCGCTACGGTCCAATCTGGAGCTATTGTTATTATATTCAACTCTCCACAACGTTCTGAACGTCTCTGACCAATAATATTGAATCGAAGCGAGGGAGGACCCTTTTGGACTTGCCATGACTGCTAGGTCATGGCAAGTCCAAAATCACGACCTTGTTGACAAAATGTATGACAAAAGCAGCCTAATAAATTGATGAAGCACCTTGCAGATGTCAGGATGCTCTTCGTTTCTCCAGTTCCCGCGCATTAACCTCTTGTCATCGAAGTTAAAACCTTTTTCTCTTATATAATCCTCAGACCTTGGAGCCTGCAAACAAGAAAAGAGTAGAACCAAATTCAGAACTAATAGATTGGGAACTTAGGTTTGCTAGTAAAGCTAACCATAAGAAAAAAGCGCTTCAGAAATCCCTGCACGATAGAACATTCTGAATGTCTCGTTTCCATAAAAAAACGTTGGACCAGTTTCAAAATTTGAGAACAAACCTCCTCAATAGGAACACCTGTCCGACGAGATGCGGCACGCTGGATTTCTGTAATACCAGTCCCATACATTACACCACCAATTGAGCACTTGAAAAACTCCATTAAATTTCGGGTGAGCGTGCCAGTTTTATCAGAAAAAATGTACTCTATCTGCGAGAACATGAAGAACGCAAAGCGATGTTATAACAACGAACTAGGCCTCTTGACTTTGCATTAAGCGTTGTAACTACTACATGGGAAATGCTGAAGAACGACTGTAAATAAAATTGTAACAAATAAAACTGGTCTATCATCAAGAGGGTCACTAACTTCTCAGGAGAGCTGATGATAGAAATTTCTGAAAACAACAACAGGTTACACCTACGAGAAATTTGAACGACATTTACCTGCCCAAGTTCTTCATTGAGATTGGAGGTCCGAGCCAATGCTGGTGTGTTACTTTCCCGATGATACATGTGGATATCATTGTTGATAAATTGAGTTGACTGGATAAATTTTATCATCTGAATGACGATAATATACAGGAAGTGAACTCAGTAAGTGACAGACCGTAAATTAACTTCGAATTCAGATCGAAGACAGCACCATGCGCCTTACGGAAAAACACAAATCCGTAGCTTTGTACAGAAAAGTGTTTGGCTTTACCTCAATGGACACGTACAATGAGATTGGAATGATAGTAGAGTACAATGTCACGAGAGTAAAGAAAGTCAGTACAGCAACCTGCAGTTCCCCAAACCGAACAACAATTAATCATTTCGCAAACTCGACATGTCCAGAGAAATTTCAACATCTTTATACTTGAATAAGAAGCGAAGATCTGAAGTGGAACTTTGTAATATTTTTCCCTCTTTTTCCTGCAAAAGGAGGGGCAGTGTACATCATGGGCAAATGTAAGATAACCCACAAAAAATCTGTTGCTGGGATTGTACTGCTCCTCTATTCCCCGCTGGGACAAACCAAGATACCACCATTTGCGATCGATGAAGATAGCACTGCACAAACGCAAACACCAATCATAACATTAACCACCATTCGGAGCTAAACTATGAGCGTAAATTTAACAATATCTTGACCTATTAAATAGAACGAAAGGAACAAATCTCAGGAAGCTGACCTGCCAATACCACCTATGAAACAGAGCATGAAGAGGATAGCGAAGAGAAGCAAAATAAGCTTGTCGAGCCTTCTCTCCAACGTGCTCCGCTTGGAAGGCACATCCATGGTATTCATCATCACCTGCTCAGAGTCATCCATAGATGGAGCGTGGTTCAGCAATAGATGAAAAACGTAACTTAAACAAACAGGTAAGAAACCTTGAACGACCACTTAAAGACATTCACAACTATCAGAGAATGCCCTATCAACTCCAAGAACGCTCTTAACTGAAAACAAATTCCCAGCTCGTATTGTGCTTAGAGACATCTTTGAAACTGTCCATAGTCTTCGTTGGTTCCAACAAAAGCAACTTCATTTAAGATATTGATATAAGGATTTTTTAACGTACTAAAGATCATGATTACATATCATACTGGAATCCAAAGAACAAACCTTTGTTTCGTGACCCGTAAAGACTACGACACCCACAATTGCGTCTGTATTTCGTAAACTGCACCCCTGCAAAGTGCATGACGAATAGACTTGTCATTCCATGACAATCAACAGGTAAGCACACATGATCCACATGGCTAAAAAGTCGAATGGTCGGGATCCTGGAAGTGAGAATCCTGGAAGTGAAAATCCTGGAAAAGGAAAATATGACTAGAATTACAAGAATTATGTCGTTCTTGATCTCCAGCTCTATCATCAGCGCATATATAAATGTTGTCCTAGGGTCTTACTCGCAAAAGAATTTGATTTGGAGTGATTGGAATTGTCTGCTTCCCAATGACTAAATTTCCCGTGAACGTGTATAATGAATTGTTCGGTTGTTCACATTCGACCATTCCTGCAATGTCAATATCGACTTCTCAGATGAAAAGAAACTACACACGCAATAAACACGTTAAGTACGAAACGAAAATTGTATTAACCAGTTGATTATTCCGTTCACATTAACTGCAGAAACACCGTTAGAAATGTAAATATGACTAGAGTACAGATGATTGTAAACGAAGGTCAGAATAGACAGGATATTAACCTTTGAAATCAACGGCTTTCTCCTCGTCGATATAATCCCATGTCCGCTCCAGAGCTTTGCGAATTTTCAAATTTGTCTCCCCATCCAAATTCGAAGTCTGCAGTTGCAGAAAATTCATATCAAAATCTTGATATGATTGTAACTTCTGCCGTCCAACTGAGCAGTGCACATGGAAGGTTGTACTCTACCTCGATATAGCAGATTCCATCGGCATTTGTACTGGCCAAAAACAGAAGATCGGCAGGGAAAAACTGATCCGAGCGTACCTGAGTGGACCACGAGAATGTCATCATCGAATGATTCAAAGGTGATCAAGCTCGGCGGACTCAAAATTCGAAACTTCCAGTGAAAGATCTCTTGACTAGGTAGATATTAGTGTCAAGATTTTTTTCATTATTGTCACAAATCCACAATACCACAGAGCAAGATACGAGGTATACCTTCACTACATCACCTACAGCCAGTTTGCTCCAAGGTGTTTTGATCCAATATTGTCCTGACAGGACCTCAATACAACTTGAGTTGATAATTTTGTCGCTCATAAAACGTTTCTGCGAAACCAGACAATGTTAGAACAATAAATCGTTTCAATAGATGTCCGAATCGAAGAAGAAAAAATATCGAAAACATGACTTCGTTGAAAGACAAACTATCTCACTGTTCAACTGATAAAGTTAGCATCAAAGGCAAGTGACGTCAAAACAGGCAGTTCTTTCAATTTCATCAGCTGGAAGAAACTTTGACCAAGCAAAATCACTACTTTTGTGTCTGTAACTCACCCGATCCTCAAATGCTTCCTTGATAAGTGATACGGCAAGCACCAACACTAGCGGGCCTACATTGGTGACAGGATGTACAGGACTGCAAAACGTTGGAAAATATCTCAGTTCAATGTGGAACACCAAAACCTTCTTTAATATAATTTGCAGTCACCTTTTGTGAGTTCCAATTGACAAAACTATGAAGATAAAATCACTTTTGAATTCATCAAATTGATCAAGTGAGTGATGAATGCTGAATGAAACTACTGGTAGAAACATTGTTCTGGAATGCCACACCTGATGGGAGTAGTAGACAAAATGGCGATCATAAGAAAGTACATGTTTGCAACTCGCCGAAACTGTCAACATAAGGTTTCCCAATTTTGCCATCCAACATAGCAACTAGATCAGATTTCGGATAGTATATTTCAGGTCTCTCTACAGACAGCAAAATTTACCAGGTCGTGCTGTACTCTAGTCAAAAGGTCGACATAAGACGTCACAATGAAATGGCCTGATTTTCAGTTACAAAGCATACACCGATAACAAACCAAAACTCCGCCGATATTCAAACACTTCACACAGAAACTTGATTCGGCTTCCCGATCATTTCCAGCACTTTTGACATGACTGACAAGAGAAATCCTACATTTATCTAGTAACGGTTGACAATACCTGCTCAAAAAGTCCCTTGGGTAGAAAGGTCCAGAAATTGTACTTTGTTGTTGAGATTGAATTGTGCTGTCAGACACCGAAATAGGCAACAAAAATTGAAAGTTTTGAGTTAATTCAAACTAATTCATAAGTGACTTACAAGCAGCACTTGACATGCTTGTAAATACTTGACATCGTCAGTAGAGAAACCCGATTAACGTAAATTTCTCTGAGAGGAGTACGTTCAGTCCGTACATATTAAGCATGAATGGCTGCCACGTTTCGCTCATATTACAGAACCAAACGGGTTTGGTTCTGTAATATGATTTTTCAATCGATCATTGAATAATCATTTTCAGAGGCATAAGCGTAAAATTTGTTGCAACACGGCTCCATCAGATATCGCCCCATCAGATTTTGCAAGGACCTCCTTCCTCAGCGCCAAGCGCCCAGCTTACCCCACCAAGGGCTCTAGAAGCGGTATCTTAAAATCTCAACGTCCATCTTTAAACAAAATTTTCATTTCGTGGATCACAACGAGTAAGAAGTCTGACCTTAAATTTATATGGAAGATTGGCACTATGGTCATTGCAATGTATAACGCGATGACCCAAATGGGCGTCAGCTCCACTGTTGCGCATCATTGCATCCATGGAAGCTCTCCCCCTCCGACTCATGGATGGAGCCCTGTCCATCCCCCCCATTCTGCCCTACCTCTAGCCTTCTTGAACTGCTACAATTCCACCGTTGTATAAAACAGGTCCAAATCAACTTTCATAAGTGTACAGTCGAAAGCAATTGGACGACACGAGCCCGAATTTTTCCACCCAAAAATCGAGCCGATCGTGACAATTTTACGACCTGGACACTCCACCCTTCTCTGATTCCTCGCTTGCCTTCACCCATCCATCTACCTGATCTGTTCCGTGCCGTCCTGTTCCCTAGATCCCCATCATTACACTGCCTTGATCCTACTGCTTCAACGCGGCTAATTCGATCCAAGCCATCCAGAACCAGAACCATGAGAAGAACCTCAGCTGCTGCGTCCTCATCGTCTAGCACTTCCGCCCCGACGCGCAATCGAGTAAGAACTCATCTCGGGATCTGCAAAACCCTCGCTTCTCGGCCCTGCCCTTCTTTTGCTCTCCTTCCCTGGGCCTCACTTCCTCCGCAGCAATCCCAATCGATTTCAAGGCACAGAGCGCGGAAGGAAGGGGACAAGGGAGAGGAAAAACAAAAAGCCGCGGGACACAGATCCGAAAGGAAGATTGCGTCTTCGAAGGCGAGGGAACAAGAAGTTTACACTAAAGAAGCTTTTCTTCCAAGCGAGGCAGGCAAGCGGTCGCAGACTATTGGGCTCTCGCTCTCACTCCTCCTCCGCTCCGCTACGCTGCCCTCCTCCTCTTCCTCCTCCTCCCCTTCCCTCTGCAGCACTCGCAGCACCAGCAGCAGGGCGCATCATTCCTTCTTCTCTTCCATCGATTCCCCTCTCGCTCTCAACAGTTTCGTCTTCTCCTCCTCCTCCTCGTCCTCCTCCGCCTCACTCTCGCCCGTCCCGGTTTGAAATCACGCATCCCGCGACCTGACGGAGCGAGCTTCGTGTCCTGCACCAGTCACTGCCTTCCTTCTGCTGCAGCCACCATGTTCCTCTCCCTCTGGCTTCTTGCCCAAACAACGTCATCTCCTCTTGCCTCGCTCTGACACCTTTGACTCTCTTCTTCTTCCGCGCGCTTTGTCTCTCTCCCTCTCTCTCCGTCTCCCCATCCCTTCTTTTCCTTTGACCGGTCAGTTCGAACTCCGCGGTTCGAACCCCACCCTGCCTTCACCGCGTCACCTCCGCTCACCCCACCGCGCCCATCTCTAATTCGTTTTTAACACCTGGTCCGATCAATTGCCGTACAGCCTGGTTCCAGCACTACATCGAGTGAGATCCGTCTTCGACCCTCGTTTCGCTTCGCCGGGGACGAGAACGCTGAATTCCCTGTTGTCGCCTGGCTCACATCTTTGACTTGCCATCCCGTCCTCATTACGCATAACTTCAACACAATTATTCGCAGTAGCAACACGGAGGACGACAAGATTGGGCATGTCAAAATGGAGCAAAGACTTTCTAATTCCATGTGTAATTTCCATAATATTATATCTAAATTCTCTGGTGACGGAAAATTGAACCATGTAATGACTTACGTGATATTATGTACGGCTCTTGTTTTGGTCAAAGTACCTGTCATGTTCTCGGATTGTGTCTTTTATAAGGTTGTGAGCAAGAATAGTTTACTTCCTACATTTACCGAAATAACAGTGTGACTAATCTCGTGACAGTCCCCGGTCATCACTTGCGACAGTATTGATATTCAACAAAGTTTTGATTTATTAAGTACAAACATGTTATATATATCAGATACTCGATATATTATACTTTAAGAGAAGTCATGACATCATCTGCTTCATGAAACTTCAATCACTTCTTGGTTTAGTCATCATTAAATGTAATTTTAATCTAAATGAGATCGTTTTCCTCCCACATTACAAAAAAACTCAGGTATAACGTATAGTGATATTTACTGTTCTTGTTCTAAAAATTGAACATCACAATATAAAAATGTAATTTATATTTTTAAATATCTTTCATTGCCTTTTTTGTGGAATAAATTGTATGATCATTACATTCTTACAATCATTTATGTAAATTTGTATGCATTGTTAGGTTAGTGTTGGCAAGAGACTTATTGAACATTGTAATAAATATTTCTCTTAAAAAATGTAGTCATGTAAGATTATGCATTGCATGAATTGAAGTTGTTTGCGTAAATCAGACTTAATGATACCATATATAGATCTTCACAGAAAATACGTGACAATATTACACTTGAAAAAAATTATGTTTTATAGGAAGATGTAACAATAATATATCTTTCTTCCTTTAGCATTTATGATGTGCTGCCAGATGAAATAATGGAATTTTCTTTTGAAGATTTAAATATTTTGATGAGTAATTTTAATATTTTAGTCTATTCATCTGTTAAAAAAATTGATTGTTTCTCCTACTTGTATCATTTTTTATGGGTTTTTTTTGTGAAATATTGAGGTACATGTTAATTTATGTTTATAATATTGTTACTACAAAACATCTCACAATGATTAAATCATTCACAATTTGATTTGAATTTCAGAATTATGTATTTTATGTAAAATTTTATACTAATTAATCATTAAATATAAATAATTTATTGATCAAAGTTTAGTTCTTTGCATATAAAATAAAACTGAAATTATTTTTTATCATTGCTATTATATTTTCAAATAATGTGTAAAATACACATTTAAGACCTTTCAAGAGGATTATAAATGTGAGATGTATTTAGTAATCTTGTAATACATAGATACTATTTTGAAAAACAAAATATTTATGTGAAACAAAACAAAATCAGATATGAGTGAACATCATATGATATTTCATTGCAGTCTGAATTATATACATGCTGGCTTGCTTAATATAGGCAATTCTATGATGTGACGCCTAAACTACCTAAACTAGACTATAACAACGAACCTACTTATGGTTCCCTTCACTTATGCATAGAAATCGCCTTATGATTATTTAGAGAAGTGGAAGCTTTTTGTTGCTTCTAAGCCTACAAGTGACTTGACTTTGAGTTTGAAGCTATATTGGAGTGTTGCATGGATAGACTAGAGATTGAAGAGTAAGATACTCTTCTGTTAATTACTATTTTACAACACTTATTCCTACCTCAAATGTTGGACAAATATAACTTGCCATCTAATCTACTATGTGTGGCCATAATAACATTAATTTTAACTTCAAAACTGCATCTCTCGCTAATGAATGACTTTGAAGATCATGTTAATGTAGGATTACTAAACTTTGGCGTTTTATGTTTAGACGCCAGAATTGCCAAAATTAAGTGGGTCAGAATTTCACACATTATATGGAATTGGCCAGGAAAAATCCAGGTTAAATGAGTTAAGGTATAAATGCGTGAATCTAAAACAACTTTTGAATGCATGCGCTTGAATTTGTTGATGAACTACATATCAAAAATCTAAATGTGCTTCTAAGTTGATATAAGGTGCATATAGATGCTTAAATTTTTGGTTGTACTAACTCAGAATTTGAGAGCAAGTTGTGCACAAAAGAATTAGAAGAAGAAAGAAAAATACTTAGTAGTGAAAAGCAAGTTGCTTCCAAAAAATATAACAATTATGAAAAATATAGTTTGCATACATTTTTTTTTTAATTTTTTTTCTTTCATTTCATTTTGTAGCATGTTTGTTTTGATCATTGTGAGTATTTTTTAGAGGTATTCATTTGTCATGTAGTTTTTGGTTTTACAATATTTAGTAGACGCCTAGGGTTTCAGGTTGTAGGGTATAGCGTCGAAGGAGACTCCAAGAACGTCAATTCTTCGAGTCGAGCCTAGCGCATTGGGAGTAGTGCTCGTGAGCGTGAGACCTGGAGTTTCCGAGTGTGGAGTGGGTTGGGTTTGACTATGTTTGTGACGGTAACTGTGACGGTTTGTTGTCAGTAGGGTAAACGACCGACGTGAATTCCAGTGGGGAAGTTCTTGTTTATTTCACTCGAAGAACTCAGTGAATTTCGTCGCATCTGTGATTAGGTTTATATGTATGTTCGAACCTAAAATTCTCTTTCGATCAATTGGGTACGGTTATTTGGTTGCGGATCAAAGCTTGTTTGAGGTTTGGTTGTTCACGTCGGTCCGGTTCGAGAGATTTACTTGCAGTCTGCATCGACAGTGGTTCAAAGATTGCGGAACGTTGGTTAGGATGTAGCGGAATGGCAATGCTGTTAGTCGGATGAGCTTGGAATTCCTTTCGGCAGGAAACGAGCATAGAGGTTGAAGGTTGTTGCTGCGGCTGATCTTTAGGCCTTGCATGTGCGCGAGAGCGAGTGATGGTGATGGTGACTGGTCTGTGGATTTCATAATTAGTCGAGAAGAGGTCTACTTCTCTCTTGTCCGGCAGCTCAAGGAATTGACAGCAGCAGAGACGCTGTGCTTTTCCAGTTGGAGGGACGAGGGATATGACGGTGGAACGGAGGGGAAGGGCTCGAGACTAGGCCCACTTCGCTCTGTATAGTACTGTTGTGCGCAGCAATTCTGGCTTCCGCAATCAGTCAATTTTTTGCACTTCTCTCGTTTAAGTACTTTTTTTGCCGAGAAGTAACCTTTAAACTTGTTAGGTTGTCATTCGCGTTGATGCGTAGAGGGATAGATACAATGTTATGTGCATTGTTAGGTCCATTCCTGATCTCGCTTGTTGGTTGTTCCTTGGTTGAGCTACTTTGTCACACGTCACCGAAACGAGTTCACTCTAGTTGAGAGTTGAAGAACCCTGGAGATCAGACGAATAGAGTTCAAGTGAGTTACTCCGAGACGTGCATACAGTTCCGAAGTGAACCAAACAGACAAGACCTCTTATTACAATCTCCTTATGTGTATCGTCGAAGTCCTGGAATCTTCTTTCAGGAACAGAGGAAGAACATGTGCGTAGAAAACTAGTTGTTTTGTATTAAAGGAGTAAAGATACTGTACCCTCAGCCCGGACGATGAGAGTGATTTGACTTCCACCTCTACAGTCGAGGTGAAGGCAGTGGATATTTGTGATGGGCGAGATGTGGGTGTAGAAGTGTTTTTTTTTACTTCAGAGCTAAAAATTCTGGCTGGGCTTAAGTCAGTCTCAGAGCGAGACCCTCGACTAGGCACGTATAGAGACGCTAACTTAGCAAACGCGGAAGGACTTAGGGATTACGCTTTTGTTGCTCTTGCTCCCGACCTCCCGATTAATTCACTCAGTGTTGAGTTCTTTTCTACGTCGTTTTACTCCTTCCTTCCGTATCAGCGATAAGTCGTTTAGTGCCTTCTGACAGCGAAGTGGGGTGGACGGTGTAAAGTATGTGGAATTGGAAGAAAGTTTGCTACAGCGGGAGGAGGAACATATGCGTGACGAGGCCGTGACTATTCAATCTTTCAGGATTGGGATGACATTTATTTTATTTCGAGAAAAAAGATATAAGGACAAAAAATTCAGGTTGGCTTGAGTAGCAACCTCTACTGGTTAGTGAAAAGCGGAGATACGATACATTTCTATTGTGATTCATCTCTTGAAGTTTCTTTGTTGGACAGGAACTTATTACAAAACATTAACGTTTTGCTCGCTGAGAAATATTTCCAGTTCTCATGTCTCTAACCATCCTTGTTCTTGCAAAGTACCGAGTTTGCCATCTTCTCTACACTTTTCTTTCCTGTTCAAGATAAAAATCTGACTGTATTTCTTTTGTCACACGCTGACACTTCTCCTGGAAGAGCATCTGATCGTAGCTGTAGAGAGGGAAAACTCGGACTTGGAGACCTCATTTTGGTCACGAAGAGATTTCAGATCGTTATGGTACACAAGAAGGGTTGTCGAAGTCTCCCAGGATGGTCGAAGGAGGTACTTTAGAAAATTAAAGCGTTTGTATCAACATATGTTAGTTGCAGTTCATTAGCTTTTGGACGAAGTGAAGTGTACAGAGATCCAAGACTTGTGTGCAGCGTTCTTTGATCCTCTCGTTTTGTAGCCGTGGTGCCAGCCTGGTTCCGTGTCTTGCTTCAAGTGTTGTGACAGTATGTAGCCCATGTGACAACTTA